AAGACAAACGCTAGTTAGAGCCAATCTAAGACTATTCTATGAAGAATTTCTGCTTTCAACATTTTACCAATTGAAGCCGTCTGTGCTAACTATTTCCATCAATTTATGTTTTGTAGAACAAAAATAGAGAAAGTAAAAAGGTCACCAGTACTTTGTTAAAAAAGGAAAAACAGAAATAATTTTAAATAGTTGACAAGAAAATGGATGTATATTGTTTATGTATATTGCCACTGATCGTCATATTAAAATTATATCCGCGGGCCGGATAAAACCTTCCGGCGGGCCACAGTTGGCCCGCGGGCCGTAGTTTGCCCATCCCTGCTCTAGCTAGTCGGAAAGAGATCGAAGTTTCAATTACGGGATTACATCACCTAACCCACTTAAGCGAATTATTGAATAAATAGTAAAAACAAATGCAATCGATATTATGGCGGTGATCGCCATTGCTAATATTATAGTGGTAGTAAAAGTATCATCATTGACTTTCGGCTGTTACATATGCATTTTAATTTGGATGTAATATAATGATAATTATCTCAAAGAAATTAATAAAATAAAAAATTAATAAAAATTTGACTTATTAAGCAAATATTAGTTAATTAAAATGGTCATATTAAAAATATAAAAATTACAAAGAGAAGAAATCCCTTAAAGGGATCAAGACAACATTCTCTGCATCGAGAATTTTCAATTGAGATTTATATTCAACAGTTGGGACTGGGAGGCCCAAAAGGGCACCTCCAGTCGCCACAAATTCGAAATTGAAAGTAAGTGAATTCGTTCCCAACGGACAGTTAGGAGCATGGGGAAGCGATCCGAGGTTGGCGAATTATCGAAAGACAACATAGCCAAAAATAAAGCCAACCTTGATTTGAAAATACCTTGGCGATCTCGTATCGCCAACAAGACTGTGAGAATTATTATAACCATGTAACTGAAACATATTTGCGGTAAGAAATTAAGAATAAAGAGTTATAAATAGGTTTTCGCTTTCAATTAGGCGCAACAGTGAATTAATGAGTCTACATTAGTATTGAAATAGAAAGTTATCCGTTACATTGTTCGATAGGAAAAGTATAAATTATTTTATGTTTGCTTTTTATAAATTTTTAATAAAAATTAACTAATTAATTTAATTTAATTAAAATTCAATTTAAGAATGATAAAAAAAATAAGTTTAAGAAATTAAAAGAGTTTTAAAAGCTAAGAAATATGTAATGCCTACTATAGCATCACAATAGATTTGACCTTTTATTTAAAAAAAAAATCGAAAAGACAGGGAAGGAACATCAATATTTTATTCATTTACCAGAATTTCGGCAATTTTCAACACTTCTTTAAGTAAAATATTTAACTTTGCATAAAACAACAATTAATCTCAAAAATATGTTCGTGAAAGTTGAGAAAACTGTAGAATAATTCGAAACCGTTAAAACTTTAACCCCGAGAACACCGTCTTTAGAATTTCTTTAGAAAAGCTAATGAAACACACTATATTATCTGCAGCGCAAAGTGCAAAAGCAAGAAAAAAAAACTTTTTTTCGTCCCACTCTCTATTCTTTACAGTTCTTAGAGAACAGTCGTCCTAAGTTGTCTTCCACCATTTTGTGGAAAAAGGAAGATCTTCGCCCTCTCTTATTATTATACTATCTCCCACTTCCTAAAAGAATATATATCTATATAAAAAAAAAGGAGGAAAAGATAGAACGTTCAGGTGGAGTTTATTTCGCGATTCTTTTATTTCTTTTGTCCTCTCTTGGAACTCAGAACCGGATCAGATTGCGAAGTTGAGTTGTCGGCTGCTTTTGCTTCACTATCGTCTGCTTTCACATGTAAGACGAAAAATAAATATATAGTCAGTGAGTTTATCATTTTTATCCACCGCGTGCGATAATTTATTAACAGGGGAATGCGAGGGTATGTCTTTATTAGCGAAACCTGATGCAGAAGGAAAAGGATGTATTTGTTCGCTCTTTTTTTTCTTCTTTAATCTCATATTTTTCTTATAAAATAATATCCAAACTATTAGGAACGAAAACAATTTCTTTCTCAAGTGAAGAAGTCCAAATGTTTTAAAATTGGAAAAATATGTTTTTAAAATAAAATATAATTTTATTGTAATCTACAAGTATATTTTTACGAAGTGCAATAAAATTGTGATGATATGAAAGTAATTGTGAGATAGTCTAAAAAATAACATTTTCGTTTTTCGCAGCATTTGAAGTTGTATTTTATAAGTGTGTATTTTATGAATTGCAAATACAATTTTGAGTTTATCAGCTGATAAAAGTTGAAGTAGGTTTTTTGAAAAAATTTAAAAAAATACAGCATGAAACACGGTGCCATTTTCTGCGTTAAAGGTAAAGTCTTTGATTCGCGACTCACTTCCTACCTGCGTTAAAAGTAATTTGCGCTTATTTGCAATTATTTAGATCTGAGAGAGACAGTTCACGATCACAGGTTACCCATAAGCTAAATGGTTGTTGTCTAATTTTTCTTTTACCCTCTTTATTTGTGATATTTATCTGAATTAGTATTGAAAACTATCCAATTTGAACTGTAGGTTAGAACTTCTGATTCTTAATTAAAACAATAAAAGCTAAAATATCTTTCAAATGATGAAATTATCTTTTATTTACAACTCAAGAAGTATTTATGGGATCTCTCTGGTCCCACATCTCAAAAATAAACTCGCCCACTTAATGCATAGCAAAATTTAAAGTGAAAAAATTATCAAACAGCAGCGGTAGCCATAGCAAAGCATGCAATGACGACACATGCGCACTGCTTACTTACTGTTGATGCGTTAGCGGAGTAGCACAGTAGTGAGTGAAAGTTGTTGTTGTTGTTAATTTAGGTCGCACTAGAGCTGCACAATGGGCTATTGGCGACGGTCTGGGAAACATCCCGTAGGATGATCCGAAGACATGCCATCAGAATTTTGATCCTCTGCGGAGGGGATGGCACCCCCGCTTCGGTAGCCCGACGACCTGCGCGCGAAGTCGAGCACTTTACGGTAGCACAGTTTAACGAGGACCAATACCGCACACCCTCGGTCCCTACGCAGACTGATCCAAGTGGTCACCCACCACCCGCACACTGACCGCAGCCAGTGATGCTTGACTTCGGTGATCTGCTGAGAACCGTGTCTTAACGATCAGTCCACTGCGGGACGCTTACAACAATGCATGCCTTGTATACAGATTTCATAATGATATGCACGGATGACGTCACTTACGTTATCTGAAAAGAAAATATCTGTTGCCAACACACGACCAAAACTTAATTCTGTTAACTTAATGTATTCATAGGAGTAACAAACCACTTCAACACTTACTATTACTCTTGAACACAGTTGAAAAGTGTGATGACGTCCAAATAAGGTGCGCAAACCATCAAACCCAAAACAACACCCATTTCGACAATGGGTAATGAATTCAAACTAACATCGTGAAAGCCCATTCTATTCTCGCAAAACGGAGCTAAACATGTTTGTAGATTGTCTCATACACACTCATATAGTCCCTGTTAAAATGGTAAATGCAATTAATTTTGTCTCCACATCTACACGTTTCCAGCAAATCGAAATAAATACAAATAACAGGAAATATTTACGAAAGGAAGATTGTTGCAATTTCCACTGTTTCATACAAAAATTTTTTTATCAAAATGAGAAAATATAACTTATATTGTCTTAAACAAATGTATTTGATCTTTACAAAAACGATTATTATAATTAAGATTCCTTCATTCATATCTACATGTTTCAATACGAAAAAGAAATGAAAATGATTAAGCTTGTTGAACACAAGCTTTATTAAGTTTTGTTCATGCAAAGAAAATAAGTATAATTATCCTTAGTTTATACAAACAAATGTTATTCAAAAAAGTGAAAATAATTAAGATTGTATCAATTAAATTTTATTCATGCAAAGACTATAAAACAATTAAGATTAATTCAAACAAATATGCTTGATTTAGGCAAAAGCAGATTAATGCAATTTTAATTGTCTGAAATATACTTTATTCATAGAAATTATATAAATATTAAGAGTGTCTTCATACAAATCGTTTGTCTATAGTCTATAAAAATAATTGAAATTGTCTCTAACAAATATATTTGATTCATACAAAGCAGATAAATACGATTTAAATTTTACCGTACAAACCTATTTCATTACACAGAAGATATAATTAAAATTATCTCATACAAACCGTCATTTAGAAAATAATTTTCTCATTAATTATTGTAAAATAATTAAAATTGTCTCAAATGAACGAAATTGATCCATATACAAAGGTAAATACAATTTTAATTGTCTCAGTCAAACACATTTTATGCTTACAAAAAATAGATAAACGTAATTAGATTGCCTCATACAGAGCTTAATTTTAATTATTTTTGTAAATCAAATATTTTTTTTTTTTGTTATTTGTAATAGTTTAGTTCACAATAAATGCTCTCCAATTTAGTAAAATTTTGATTTATTCGTAACTCACACCTTAAAAATTGACCTTTAAAATATATTTCCTTTCATAAAATATCTATGCACTAACATAAAACAAAAAATAAATAGCACTAGTACGTGTTAAAAGTACTAGATTTTATTTATTTGCTATTTAAGTATATGTAAGTCGTAAGCTAGATTTTAATTTATTTGTTATTTCAGTATATGTAAGCTGTAAGTAAGAGTTTGTATCATCTGTTGCTATGGTGATATTATAGAACAAAATTTTTGTGTTAAAATAAAGTGTTATGTTTCTTGCTCTTATGTAGAAATGTAATCAGAATAAATTTATTTGAGTAAAGTAGTAATTTTAAGTTGAGAACGACAGAATATTGCCCTTTCTGGTAGAGTCTTTTAACAGTACGATAAATAAATATTTATTTAAGACACTCATTAAAGATAAAAACTTTAAAAAAAGAACATCATTCATTCAAACTCTTAAATCACGTGATATACGAAGTGCCAAAAATGATATTTCTCATTTTTTTATAGTGATGCCAGCTTTCGAAAACCAATTTTACCGAAAATAAATGTATTCCATTTTCCACCAAATGCCACGCTCAGTCGGACAAAGCTTTTGCCAGGAAATGATAAAAATCGATATTATCTAATATCGTGGGGCGGAATGTAAGTCTGCTGACCATGTGACAGCTCATCCTTGAAATGTCCGGTCGTCATTTGACAGTACTTCACTTATCTCTAAACGTTTCAATGAATTCTGTTCAACTTGAATAGTTAGGATCAGCATTCAGCCATTACAAAAGAAAGGAACTTTACGAACTAGTCATTCCAAAATGAAAATATCGTTGTTTGAATCGATTATTTAACTGCATCAAATATCGTAATCAGACATATTAATAAATTTTCATATTTTTAAAATGCAAATTTAATTTTTATTGCATTTTCTTCGTATTTTTCAATTCCTATTATTAGTTCACATACATTGTTCAAATTTTCAATCGTTAATAAAATACTTTTTATTCATACATTCAAGTACAAATACATTTTTTTAAGCTTGTATGGATGATACTTGATGTGAATACAGTTTTTTCAGATATTAATTCGTTTATTAAATAGAACATGATCAAGAAACTAAAGGGAATCTTCTGATGGCTTAAGCGTTATTTATTGTTTTAAATTTTACTATAAGCCATTGAGTTTTTCCCATAGTTTAAAAATAGCATCAATGATAATTACAGCTACGTATAGCTAACTATATTACTTATGGCTCTCTTTGAACAAAAAAAAGTCTATTGCGCACAATTGGGTATACTATAGCCTACGTCACAGGTTGTGTTATTCCTACTAAATTTAACCCATGAACGGCATTTTCTGCGAGCCTAACTTCAAGCCACAAATAAACAAACGAAGTGTTTGATCGTTTAAATAGCTGCTCGCCAGATTTTATTGCATTATAAAGAAAAGTAATTGATATTCGATTTTTGATTAATAATTGATTTATGTGGATAGTGGCATTTATGTGGATAGTGGCATAGAATTTAGCATTGCGTCATGGTAAATGTTATTCCTACTAAGTGGAAGTAGTTGTGTTTTTTTATATTATACCCAATTAAATATTTAATTATTTTATATTCATATAAATTCAATAAATAACATGACGTAGTAGCACGTGCGGTCCACGTCACCAAATTTATACTTTTATAGTTGTCTTATACCATGCGCCTTTTTATTTTTTTAAATTCCTACTATTAGTTTACACTCTCCCTGTATCTTGTTCACATTTTCAATCGTTAATAAAATACTTTTTATTCATACACTCAAGTTCAAATACATTTCTTTAAAACTTGTAGTGAATGACACTTGATGTTAATACAGTTTTTTTTTTTGAAATATTAATTCATTCATTAAATTTAATGAATTAATTTAAGTTTTATATGGGAGAAAAAAATTCGCGATCGCAGCGCTCGAGTACGCCCTCTAGCGGGAGACTGAAAATATCCGTCATTAGTTCCATCAAAACCATTGGCAATGACGGACGCCATTTTCTTAGCAGCAAATATGAAGCAAAATTTCCCTAAGGAAAAAGTAGAAGAAAAAACTAACCAGAACATGCCAAACATTGAATCAGAACACGGGCATTAGGAGAACAATTTTTCAATAATTTTTACCTTTCTATTACCAACAACACTACTTACAATTTCATGATGACTTGCTGTTACAGATATGTGTATTACGGTAAAATAATTTTTTCTGTCTTCAAGTCATTACAAATTAAAGCGAAGTCAACATTGCTTTCGTCATTCCAATAAATAAATGTGAATTCAGAACGTACAGAACTTTAATAGTTATAGAATATTCTTCTTCGTTATAGAACAGTATATATTTCTGTATCTATATAATTCGGAAAACAACAATAAAAAATCATCCAAATTGCTTGAAATAGTGTCATTTGTGCTGATGATTAATAAATTTGTATCGTTTTCTTGTTAAGTATTTTTTTAGTTTTGAAAGAATAATTTCAACTAGAATTCAGCTATTCTGTTTTTAAGCTACGTATTTAAATTCATATCGAGATCTTACAATTATAAAATTTTGCTGTGTGGTATGTAATCTAAAAGTAATGAAGGGATAAACTATGTATATATTATTTGAGAATAAAGTTTTCAAACAAAGAACATGTCATTTTGGAATTCTCCGGATTAATAAATCAGGTAAGTGTTATGATTTTTATAATAATAAATTTGCTTGTAAATAAATCGTTTTCTTATTTGTTGATAGTTCTCTACAGAATGGTTTTTTACGTCTGATTAAGAACTATGAGAATAAAAAAAATAAACAATATGAAAGTTTTTTATTTCAATATGAGGAATTTTGAAAATCATTTTTTTTATCCTAAGAATTCTTTGTTTTACGTTTTTTAATTTCTGATTTTTAGATTGAAATTGTTGTCAAAATACTTTTTTTGAAAACATAAATGGTATAACATTATGTGTTTATGTATACTTCTTGTATATTCTAATGTTTGAAGTAATATGATTCAGAAAAGTACTGAATAGAAATTCGGTACTTATGTATTAACGACACCCCAGCTACAGATTTGGCTGTTTTTAAGTGCCGCCAATCTTCACCTAAAATGTTTGCGTCAAATCTTGAAATGAAACACTTTATTTAAAATCAAAGTAGTCAATCGGATTTCCGTGGGAAATGGGCCGATATAGAGTTTAACATCGATTCAAAACAATCTCTATTTTCTTCTCTATCTTAACAATCTCTATTTCTGTCGCCATATTAACTCTAATAAATAAGATTCCAAATGAAATAACATTTCGAAAACGTACGTTTACCAAGATAAAGTTTCATGTCATGGGAATTGGTACATTTTCGTTTTTTTGGTTTTCGCTCCTGAAAAAATAAAATTGCATCTTGTTTTGTTTTTGGCAAATCCCAAAGACGAATTGTCGCAGCACTAAAAAATGGCGACAGGAAAGAATTGTTTTTTTTTTTTTTTTCGTCAGCATTCTTTATTTTACGTTTTTTAGTTTCAAAATAATGATTTTTATTGAAACCTGAAATTTTTTGATAAAAATTGTTTTTAAAAAACTTTTTTTACAAAATTAAATTTCAGAAAATCATGAGGCTTATGTATACTTTTTGTTCATTTTAATTTTTGATGTAATATGATTCTTAAAACTATGGAATGCAATGTTTAAATAGGCCTTTCATATTATATCATTAAATTTAGTAAAACTATTTCTCGGGCATTAGGTTTTAACTCCTATAAGAATATACATATTTTTTTCTGTTAATGTACAAATATTTTTTCGATGTGTTTTGGATATTCCTTCTCTAATAAAAGAGATACCATTTTGTTTTCGTTTGCATAAGAAAGAATATCAAGCATTTTTCTTTTTTAAATTTAATTAGCCACAATAAAGAAGGAACGTTGCAATGCTACGTGCTACATTAACGACGCCTCCAGAGTAACTGAATGACTATTCATATAGAAATCGCAGGTATTCGTCTCATACAACAACGCCCGTTGCGATCGCGAATAGTCAGTCAGTCATCTACAAAAACTTATATGGCCAAGCAACTATCTTGTTTTTTTTTGTTTTTGTTTTTTTCCTTTCTGTAAGTATCGTGAGACGCCAAAGGCCTCAGTTAAACCTCTGAGCTATAATCCCTTTTTTTTAGCCTTCACAACCCCCCCCCCCNCCCCCCCCCACAGCAGAAGGTGATACAGCCACGATAGGCTTAACGGGAATCTTACACTGTAAACACTCCGGATCTGCAGACAGTTGACAAAAAAAAATATAATAATAATAATAACGAAACAAGAATCGCTCTTGCTAATATTTTCAATTTTGTTTCCTCCCAAAAAACTAAACTTAGCATCTTTGTTCAAATTTTCAACTGCAGCATGTATTTTTGCGTTATTTAATTATTTATTAGGCTTCTTTTGAAAATCAATTATATAATTTTAAAAAAATTGTTTTTAATAATATGCTTATTAGTTGACTTAAAAACAATTCTTGATTACATGCGTATAATTTGGGTACTTGCACTTTAAGAAGAAGATCACGGTTTAAATTAATTTAAACTCATTTATGTATGGTGAAAAAATTTCAAGTTAAATATTTCAATTTTAAAAATAACAATTTGTTAAAGTATTTTAAAAAAGGTTTGAATTCCATTACGCAAAGCATTTTTAATTTAAAAATGGTTTTTTCCTTTTGTTTCTACGTGTGTTGTTATTATTTGCCACTCTATTTTAAAGAGCTTTTTTTTTCAAAAAATTATCTTTCAATTAATTTAATTTTGATAGCATGTTACCTTTTATTTCAAGACAAAATAGGAAATATGCCTATTAAGAATGTCTCATTTTTAATTCAAAATTGGTTTTTACTTTTGTTTCTACGTGCATTATTAATAGTTGCGACTCTATTTTAACGAGCTTTTTTTTAAAATTATCTTTCAATTAATTTAATTTTGATAGCATGTTACCTTTTATTTCAAGACAAAATAGGAAATATGCCTATTAAGAATGTCTCATTTTAAATTCAAAATTGGTTTTTACCTTTGTTTCTACGTGCATTATTAATAGTTGCGACTCTATTTTAACGAGCTTTTTTTTTAAAAATTATCTTTCAATTAATTTAATTTTGATAGCATTTTATCTTTTATTACAAGCCAAAATTGGAAATATGCCTATTAAGAATGTCTCATTTTTAATTCAAAATTGGTTTTTACTTTTGTTTCTACGTGAATTATAATATTTGCGACTCTATTTTAAAGAGCTTTTTTTAAAAAAATTATCTTTCAATTAATTCAATTTTGATAGCATTTTATCTTTTATTACAAGACAAAATTGGAAATATGCCTATTAAGGATGCTTTGTGGCACATAACTGTCACGATAAATATTAATTATTCTTTCAGTGATGTACCTTTTGATAGATGAAGGTTGACATAGTCGATAATTAAATCCCCCTCAGCTTCATTTTTATTTCAAAATTGTTTCTACATGTGTTATTAATAGTTGTGACTATATTTTAAAGATCTTTTTTGTTTAAATTATCTTTCAATTAATTCAATTTTGATAACATTTTATATTTTACTACGAAACAAAATTTGAAATGTGCCTATTATTTCAGAGACAAGGTATTTATGCAGTGTATTTAAGTCAATATTTGAAACTTAAAACTTTCCTTCTAGCAAAACGTATATATTCTTTGAACTAAAAATATAAAGTTACTCGAAAACTGCAATTACTGTTCAGCATATTCATAAGACTCAAATACCCCCTCATCTCAAAGGAAGTTTTGTGTTGTAAGTTCCATGACCACAGAATTCTGAAGAGGGCGATTTCGGAATAAATAATCG